GGCATTTAATTAAATATATTGTTAATATGTGTTTTCCGCATGTAGACTTTGTATGACAAATGAAATATATTTTTTACCCTAAACCATATATATATATATAATCACATCCTATAATCAACGATATATCAGCCACAATAGATAGTTGTGTATCTAACAAGAATTATCAGATTACAGGTTTTAGATTGATAAATTATAATAAGTAATATTTAACCATCGATTCCGTGGATCAGAAACGGTGAATCTAAACGAACTAAGTCTAAAAGACATCCACTAGACAAAAGAAAGGAGAAGACAAAACACAATGTCATAAGGCACTAAGAAAATAGTAGTGGAAGATGCCTTCAAAATCAACTTTAGAGAAACATAGTACATTTTGTCTCCAAACGATGAAGCCACTTGTTGGATTGTCACATTCACAAAAATGAGATTTTCTTTTACTTTGAAAGCCAATTTGGCCAGTGAGATCTCTCGTTTTTTTACGAGAGTGGTCATGTCCCAATCACTTTGTTTCCTTCTTGGTTTTTTTTGTATGTCAATCAGTGTTCTAAAAAGCGGTTTAGGCGTTCGTCTAGGCGACGTTTAGGCGCTAGACCCCTATAAACCGTGGCGACTAGCGTTTATGCCGCCTAAAATATTATGACATTATAATAATAAAATAATATAATTTTTCTTATATATAAATCGTAATATTCTATATATTTTGGTACAAGATAAATACAATATAAATTTTCTTATTCATAAATTATGTCTTTTATATATATTTAATATATTATGTATTTTTGTAAAACGTTTAGACCGCCTATTGAATCACTTAGGCTCCGATTATGTGTTCTAGGCACTAGGCATTAGATCACCGTCCGTTTAGCGTCTAGCGCTTTCTTGAACATTGATGTCAATACAACTTTTAAACTATATACGGTTCTTTAACTATACTCTTTCATAATCAAAAGATTCCAAACCGAAACCAGACTTAGCTTCGAGACATGTGAAATTTTGTTAGTGCTTTAATAATTAAAACGTATGTAGTAAGTAGCACTCGAACTGTGAAAAAGAGAAAAAGATACTAGAAAAGGACATGTGGAATATGTTTAACAAAGTGTATTCAGCCCAACTGACTTATTATTATTGTAAGTATACAATTGATTTCTTGTAACAACAACAAAAGAAGTCTATCGGTGCAGAAAAGAAAAAGTTAAAGGTAGATGCAAAATAATAAAGAGAACATTAAGAAGTTATATCAACTCTCATTTAAATCTCATGTAATGGTTTTACCATTCATATCATTAACAGGTTACGATCGAAGTACTAACAGTATTATGTCATTAAATATAGTGGATCAAACGTTCTGCACAATTAAGAGATATATAGCACAAACTATTAAGGATAAAAAATAATCACATCAATGTACGTAGAGTGAACAAAAAGACAATAACATTAATAGTACTACATATAAGTAGTGGTTGAAAATTTGAAACTTTTCAAAGTTGCTTTCTAGTCCACCTAAATTGGAGTGATCAGCCATTGGCAGCATCCAGAACTAAAGCATAATTGAAAAGCTTCTTTGATCACTGATTTGATCTGTCATGTTGTAACTCACCAAGAGGAAAAAAAATCTATAAACAGCTTTGCATACGTCTATATAACTATAGATGAATG